CACCAAAAAGGTGCTGCCTTCTTGTTGGAGTCTTGTGGAAGATTCAGAAGCATCCCTGGGGAGTGACTTCTTTCTTCTTCCAGGAACCTACGGGTTTCAACAGCTTTAGACCAATTTTTATATTAGTTTCTTGGCTCAGGGCTTCCATAGCTCACAAGTAGTGCAAAATCAAGCCTCATAACATCCCATAGCTAGAGCTAGTTTCTAGAGTGTGACTTTGTTTTTAACCAATGCCCCAAGATGAACAGTTCCTTAGCTTACTGGCTTGAGGGCAGCATTTTTCTATTTCCCATGCAGGGACAAGATAGTGCCTTTTGGCTCCTGGTTTTATAAGTCCAACCCCAGCTTTGCACTGTAGACAAGAGGCTTGGAACCTTGTCTCCTCCCAGCTGAATGACTTAGAGAGCCTGACAGTCCCGAGCTCAAGCTCTCTGCTGCAGCCATCTCAGGCAGCATCTGCACGGTGTTTGATACTGTGGTTATGTGCTTACGTGTTCTCTTCTAGACTGAGCTCCTCTAAGACAAGACCTGAGTTTTTGCACCCATCACAATGCTTCCTGTAGGGCCCTGCATAGATGCTCTTGTGGACTGAACTATACTGTAATCTTCTAAAGGTCACCGTTAAAGGCTTGAGTAGGGCCTTCCTGACCCTGACCTAGTTTCTCATTGTTAGTGGAACGGTGGGGGTGAGAGGCACCATGCAGAGGCCCCCCTTTTTATTTTCTGCTCTTTAAAATCAAAAGAAAAAGGCAGGGCTCCCCCAGGCAGGGTTTACTTTGGTGCAGCAACTCCCCTGTTGCCATCAAGGTTCACATTCTGCCACCTCAGCTTCATATGCCGAGACAGAAAAAACAGCAGGAAGACTTGTTTAACATTTATTCCCAGGATTTTTTTTTAATTTCCTCTGAAACGAATACGAATACACTAAGGTCTTTACACTCTGCAGGAGCTAATCCCCCACTGGAAGCTTTGGGGAACCTCATTCCTTCTTGCGGATGTGATCTGTCGACACAGGCGTTCCTTCAGGCTCTTTTGAAAGGCCCACAGTGGATGGAGAGGCGCTGTCTTTGGAGCTCTATTACATTTATAATACGACTTTTTAAAAAAGAAAATAACGTAGGAATTGCTTCCAGAACCTAAATGCCTGTGTGAACTGCTGTCTTCTCTGAGTCTAGGCAGCTTTCAATGGGCTGTCCCGGCAGTGAGTGTACCCACAGCCGCCCTGCTTTGGGGCCGCCAGCAGAGGCGGCATGTCCTGAACCCAAACCCACCGCACACGCTCAGTAGGAAATGTGTACTTTCAATGTTGAAAGCACCATGGGAAGAAAGTTGTATTTTTATAAATGAAAGTGCTTAATATTATTCACAAAGTAAAATCATATTTTCCTTGAATGCCTTGGTCCCGGTATCAACTTCATTAACAACAACAAAAAAATCTGCCTGAAATATTTAATCCCTTCTAATAATGGCAATAGAAATTCACGGTATTTATCCAGTGCACATTTACTCGTTGTTCACTGTGCACACAGCACTATAAAGAGGCTCTGTGGAGGTATTTTATCGGAAAAGTCTTTGATCTCAAGAAGCTTCTTTTTAGATACCTAATTTATTTTGTGGCTGGCTCAGTGGGATAAAAATTGTCTGAGAATTGCTAATCTGGTGGAGATGATTTAAATTACTCAAGACTATGGAAGGCTATCTGTTAAATTATCTGTCCGTGCCCTTTCACACTTTTGTGCTTTTAAATCACAGAGTGTTTTCTTAGCACAGAAGAAGGAATCCTCATTATATGGCATTACCAGGTCTCCCAGTGAATCACATGGAATGAGAATCCATCTCAGAGGTAGTCAAAGTCATATATCTCCCCATACTATCTGATGAAGCCTTCTGCTGGTTTCCTGGGTGGCCAATCACATGACAGACATATGACTCTCAGACAGGAACTGAAATAAAATTCCTATAATACCCTTAGGGGAAAGGGGATTGTCACTGTTGAGCACTTTAGTCAGTGGCTTAATTCCTTTTAAACTTGCCTCAACCTTACTTACAGCTCTGAACAGAACCCAAAAGAACTACTTAGTTTTCCTATTGAGTGTACACTACATCGAGCTGTTGTAGCTTTGCAAATTTTCTTTCAAGGATTTCAGGTGCTAAATGATATATCATATATCCTGGTAGAGTTTATTCAGTACTCTAATCATCAGTCTCAAGAACGCTTCATTCAGGCTAGACTCTAGCAGAAAGAAGAACTGAAAAAAGCAAACTGCTGGGTTTTTTTTTTCCCAGAAAGTACATTTTTGGCACTGTCATATTGAATGTGAAGGTCAGGTGGTATGCTCTTAGACACCCATTGTCAGGTGGCCATGAATGGCACACAGACCCAAAAATGCTCTACTCCAATCCCTCATCCCTTCCATTCATGTGACAGCATCGTCAGGTGGAAGCACCATGTGGATATGAGTCTCCCACTCCAGAGATCCAGGTCAAGGATAAGAAATGCATTTCCTAAGTGGTCACTCCACAGTTTCCATTTCTGGCTTAGAGCTCAGTAAGTGGTCATGCCATCCTTCCAGTTCCTCAGGCCAAAAGCCTCAAAGTCATCCCTGAATCCTCTTGCTCACTGTGCATCTAATGTGTCAGAAAATGCTGTTGGATTTACTTTTAAAACATATCCAGAATCCAACTACTTCTCACCACTTCCACCACTTCCATGCTAGTCCAAACCACTGTCCTCTCCCCTGGATTCCCTGCTCTTCCCAAACCCTTACTGTCCAGTCTCCACTCAGTAGACAGAGCAATCCTGAAAAAATTTCAGTCAAATCATTCTTTTTCTCAAAACCCTACAACACCCTCCTTTGCCCAGCTCACATAAAGTCGGAGTCAGCGTCCTGATAATAGCCTCCAGGGCCCTCCAAGGTCTTTCCTGCTTGGGCACTCACCCACATCTAAGTTAACCTCTTTCCACCTCACTCACTCTGCCACACCCATGCTGACCTCTGTGATGCTTTTCCAACACGCCAGGAACATTCCCATCTTGGGACTTGTAATTGTCTGACTCATAGGAATGGTCTTGCTGCCTACTAACATACGGTTTGTTCCTTCATCATCTTAAGTCTCTGCCCAAAGGCCACCTTCCCAGTGGATTCTACCCTGTTAACTCTCTGAAACTGTAACTCCAAACTCCTGGTACCCCTTTGCCCCTTTTCTGCTTCATTAGCCCACATTTATCACCATCTGACCAAATATTTATTCACTTATATCTCTGTTGATAATTTGTCTCTCTCCACTAGAATGTAAGCTCCATGAGGGCAGGAATTCTTGTCCATTTTGTTCACTGCCATATTTGCATCACCAAGCATAGTATGTGTTCCTTACACAACTGAACAATGAATGAATGAATATTTGGCCTTGATATGTTTACTTTCAGACATTCCTCAACACACATACCACAACGCCTTCAGAGTCTGTAGCAGGTTGTATTAAAAAGAGAAACAGAGGACCTTGTGATATTTCTAGAATCCTTTTGGATCAAACACTCTAGATGGTGAGGTTACGACAAGGTTCCAACATACAGACAAGTCCATGTTAGTAGATCAGGAGGCTGGCTGATGCTGACACCTTTCTGTGCACAGATAGAGATTTAGTTTTGGGAATATGGGGCATGGAGCCATTCTGTTTGAGGCAGAGCACAGTGGCTCCTATGTCTCATTTGCCTCTCACCACATACTCATGTTCAACACTGAGATTTTCTCCTATGAAAACAGGAACTCAGTCAAGCAAGAGTATGGCTGCAGAAAAGAAAATTTCCAGTGGAAGCTTGCAAAGTCAGAGGAATGTACTATATATCCAAAGATTCATTTTTTTAAAAAATTTGAGATTGGTTTGGGGGTTAGGGTAAAATGGAAAAGGAAAGTTGATACTAATAGGCTTGTTGAAGATTTTTCTTTTTACAAAGAAATTAAAGACAAAATGGGAAAGAAATATCTGACCATCAGCCTTTTGATCAGTGATAATATGAGCATTTTTAAATTCTAGTTTTTGTATGTGTACATGCATGTGTGAGAAAGTGGAGAAGAAAATAAAAAAGAACAGTTTTTTCAAAATGAAATTTCTTATCCATTATGAAAAGATATCTGTTATCTTTGTTTCTTTTTGTAGCATAACATCAAATTATCAGTTCATAAATTAGTCAATTTGGTGACAAGAAAACATAGTATCACTGAAACTAATGTTTCTCACTGAAGCACATCAGAATCACCTAATTCTGTTCCAAATACTGGAAATCACTTTCAAATAGTTTTCAAAGAACTGATAAAACAGAAATATAAAGTTTACATGAAAGTTGCTGCAAGTTCACATTTGCCTAGATGTTAATTCTTTTAAAAATAATGGTTGGCATGGCAATAAAGACAGAAGAAAACTACATGTTTCCAGACACAGTTTTAGACAAAAAATTTAGAAAGACATGAATTCCTCAGTCACATATCTACCATTTTAAATATTATTTCTCATGAAAATGACTATGTAGGAGGAAGCACACCCAATCGACTAAAGGGGTATTACACACTCTGATTAAATGGCATTGCTTTCTTATTATTTCATTTTTGCATATAGTGTGGTTCCCACAAGACTGCATCCTTTCAGAGCAGAAGCTGAATCTTAAACTGCTCTTGTAATCCCTAAGGCAGCAATCAGAGAATCAGACACACAGTAGGTACTCAGTGAATATCAACTGACTTAACTTGCTTCAACTATTATTTAAAATTCTGGCAAAGGCTTTGAAGTTGGTAATAGGTGAAGGACTGGCCCATACAGGTTAAGATGCCCTATGAGAAAACAGATGGCATGCAGGGAAAAGAAAATGATGGAAAAGACTTGTGTATGTTTATGTTACTTATCATAGTGAACCACATTTCATGAGTTTCAAAAAACACTCTTAAAAAGTTAGCTTTGAAATAGGTATATTGAAATGTGAATTCAGAGCTAAAATAAATTCTTACAGTTTTCATCCTGGGCAATGCATTGTAAGGGGATCCCAAAGAAAGACGTATAGCTGTCATTGTACCACACCAGAAGCTCGGTGCCCCTGGGGATATCTATACAGGCTCGGTAGAATATATTCGACCTATTCAAAACAAAAGAAAACCCAGCTTAGTAATACATAGGACTCATGTGCCCCCATCCATATTTTTATTGCCCCGAAAAAGTTCTGCTCAGCTCCATCTAAACAGTTTCTGTTTGTAATAAATCTACACCCAACTGATTGTCCCCAGCAACCAATTAGAGCCTGTAACTCAGTATGATAAACAGCATTCAGTTTATTTCCACAGTGTCCCTCCCTAGAATGAATTGACTGAAGAGACAGATATTTAACCCAGGAGACATCAGAAAGGAAGAGTTCATTAAAAAAAAAAAAAAATTCCATCTCACACTAATGAGAAAATTCCCTCTCTGGAAAATTGCAAAGACACTGGTGTCCCAGCCTCATATATAAATACTATTGATATCTTATTCAAAGGAAAAGCGTTAAATGTATTATTGCAACTTGGCATTGGGAGTTCCCAAATTTGTAATAAAATTAAGCAGCTTTGTGATATAAGGACTCAGAGAAATAAAAATCCTCTCCACTGCTTTTCTTCTAAAGTTTGATACAGGAGAAGAGAAAAACCCTCTTATGTGAAATGGATGGAAATTCAATAACTACAAGAGGAGCACTTTACTCTGGCTGAAAAATTACACTCTGAAATGATACAGTAAAGGTACCAAGAAATAAACATTTTTTATAATAGCTTTGGTACTGTAAAAAAAATCTACAGATGAAAAAAAATGAGGAGACTGCGACTGGTTTTCTCAATGAAGAATTGCTACAAATATGAACCTCAAGTTCAAGATAAAAGTGTGTAGGGTTGGTGGGTCTTAAATTTCTCCTTTCTGTAAGGAATTGGCTGTAGCAGGGCAATTTGTTCCTTGTATAACACTGCAGACATAAGGCGAATGCTTCTCCACATTTTTCATGGCAGTGAGATATGCACTTGTCAACATATTTTGTCACCACAAAGTGGCTCTTGGCAATAGGATCATAAAGATCAATAAAAAAGTGCAGATTCTCAATATTTTACTTGCAGCTGCAAAAATTTCATTTATCTTGTTATTTTCCTTACTTGCTGCCATTCTGTCTCATGAGGGCACTGCTAGCTAAGCAGAATGTTTTTTCCAACATTCTATGAATATCTGACAAAAACTCCAGCCAGTTGTCCAGCTCTTGCTACCCTTCCTCCCTCTGCATCTCTAAGAGCTGTGCATTTTATTAATTCTTTCCACTGCTACATAAAAAAATCAAAATTGGAGCTGAGCTATAAATCACTGGCATCTCCTAACTTGAGAAAAATTGAGTCTACTTTGTACTTCACCCTTGCAACATTTCATCTCTCGGTTTGGCTTCCCTTCATATAAACACTGCGCCCGGCAAATGAATGTGCTAAAACCAAATGACACACTTTGCTGCTGAAAGAGCAGAACTGTTTTCGAGCAATGGGTGGTCTTTTGAGGCACCGAGTAGGCCGAAAGGGGGAAAAAAATGTGTAAGCGTACACCATTCCTTACAAGCGGGCAGAGCTTCCAAAACTCGCAGAAATCTCTGCATGTTGAAGCACATCAAAGGGATTTTTCCCTTTTCAGATAATATTTCCTTTGCTGACATGTATTTAGTATTGTGGTTGGATGACTCATAAAGATAGCTTCATGGCGTCCCAACGCAGTTGAAGTGGAACACATGCCAACAAACATTATTGTCAGCCTCAAAATAAAAACAAAACGTTCAGCTAAGTGTCAATCAATCAAGGGCGCTTTGAAGAAAATTCCATTTAGATATTACAAATCATAACAGAATGAATTTAAACCAGCTGACTTTTTGTGAAGAGGACATTCATGTACAATAAAAATTAGGCTGGCTCTTCAGGGTCCAACTTTTCTATTTTCTTACTCTTGGACGTGGTCACTGGTGATGAATGCCAGTTTTTAAAATTGTGTTTTTGTAGTTCATTTTGTAAAGATCTGAAGTAATCGAAAACAGATCATCAGAGAGAGCTCAGAGTGTAAGCACCATCATGAAGGGGAGTTTTAAGAAACTCACTTAATATTGACAGACAGGCAATGACTTACCCATGCTCACCTTCCTCTTAGGGGTTTTTTGTTTTCCCAAATTCAGAATTTGCCTCAATAGCTCCCTAGGTACTCATTACAGAACCAAACTACCTCTTGCTAAATGGACAAGCACAATCTTCACTAATTTTCTAGCTCAGAGTTTTATTAAAAACCTCACAACAGAAATGCAGCTGTAATAAAAGCGTGTAAAGCTCGTATACAGCAGTGTAAAGAAATACTGTCTTGTGCTACTTCATTTAAACATTATTTAATGAAATGAAACTGCACTGGAAACCAAGGCAGGAGTCACACACTGCCCCAATTTTGTTTTTAATTGAAGACCTTCAGAGAGCAAGCCAGATTTGTGCAGCCTTTAACCAACAAGGGGAAGAAAATTAAAAAGAAAAACGTAAGCTTCGTTAAAAAAAAAAAAAAAAAAAAAAAAAAAAAGGAAAGGAAAATAAATAGCCATAGGCAGGACTCCAAGTTGCTGAGCACAGAGCCCTCTGCTTTGATGTGTCTGTGGTGCCTAATAAAGCTAAACAGTTGCTTCTGATTCTAAAGGGAACACGGCTGTTTATAACTGAGGTCATATATTTATATGGCACACGTTTTCGAGGGATTTTGAGAAAAGAAGGCTTAGTGGTAGGATTTTTCCTATTTGATTTGTTTTTGCCCTCTCATCTCCACTCCAGCCTTCCTTAGCACTAAGTGGAAATGCTTCACCAGCAGGTGCGCTGAGAAGAACTGGTGGAGCATCCAGAGAATCCACCCTGCTTCTCAGCTGCCCAGGGTCCTCCCTATGTGGACTCCCTACAGGAAAATGGGGATGGTTCCACCCTGCCTTTGTTATCCTTTGGGTTTTGCCCATACCTCAGGAAACCAGGAGCTTCTCCGTGCCCTGGAACTGCCTCCAACTGAAACAAATCCTGAATCATCAAAGGGCCAAACCCACCGCCACCATTAGAGGAAGCAGGAGAGTTACCCTGGCTCTGTCACTGCCACTAAGCCTAAGGGTTTTAGAAAGGTATCCTGGGGAAAGTAGAGAGTTCTTGGTTTCCCATGCCATTGTGCAAGTAAAACTATTCCTCAAGGGAGACAGCACGAAGCAGACGGAAACCAAGAGACCCAAGGCTGAATTTCTGACCTTCTACTTATTGTGTGTATATATCTGCTTGGGAAAAACACCCCAAGTCAGTGGGTTTGCTGGACTCATTCAGACCATTCTGGAAGTTCTAATGATGTGGGAATAACTTTACCATATGCACAGAGTGAAGGAAGCCATCTACTAGCATCTTGAATCCTAAATGTTCATGAATGTCATGAATGCTCTTACTATCGTAAGAACTAAGGTTTCAGAAACCTAGCCAAAAAAAAAAAAAAAAAAAAAAAAAAAAAAAAAAAAAAATGTCTGCCAGTCCTTTCAGAGTTCTGCAGGATTTTTTTTTTCACCCACCAGCGGCAAGCTTGAATTTGTATATGCAAGCCAAATGGCTTCAGCTCTGTAGGTGGTAAATCAAGATATACTTTACCTGTACTGAACTACTGTTAGATTCTGTTCTCCGCAGTGCCTTGCACATCGGATATACCTCATCCAGCTCGACTTACTAGGTTCCCCACCATCAATAAAGTGCTGTAGTGTCCCATCCTGGTCATATATCTGGAGAAGAGGTCAGAAGGTCAAGTAGTTAGAACGAATCATCAGCAATCATTTTCCCTGCTTCCCTTGGTGTCTTTATGTGTCAGCTGCAGAAATTTATTGCCCTTAGGTTTGCTAGTGCTTATTGATGCTTGTGGAAACTCAACCGGAATAACAGGAAAATATTTTTTGGTGATGCAAGTCGATCAGGTTTTTCTTATCAAGCCAATCTTCTCTGTATTAAACATATTTGTGGTATCTCAAGGATGTGACCATATTTCCCAAAGAATATTTAACTGATTTTGACAGGCCAGTCTTAAGTAATGAGCTGCTGGATAAACAAAGCAAGCTGAAAGGAGAGGCCACCTAACATGGTTGTAACATCTGCATTTGAGGCCCCCCAGTCTCAAACACACGACTGTCCACAGGCATTCGGGAGGCAGTAACTGTCTGTTCAACAGGCTGGGTGACACCTAGCAGAAGGCAGTTGGAGAGTTATGGAGCCGTAAAGAACTGGCAAAACAGATTTTGATTTGGCTGAAATAAACGGACTCTCACCTCAAAGAAGATGTAGGACTTCAGTTTTCAGGACCTGAAACTATTAGGAGAGGAGTCATAAAAATAAAAAAGACAGAGAACCTTAAAAAGGGAAGAAAAAAATAGCTATTTCCTCTGAATCCTACATTTCTTAACTGAGTTTTTCTAATCATTAGTGCCTCACATTAATTCAAGCAGGTTTCCTTTCAAGATAGCATTTGAGAAAATGAAATCCCCTTTGAACCATGCAATAAGCAAAAAAGTCTTGTGCAAGCAACTAGGGAGCCAAGCCGACAGGAGTCAGTGCCGACAGCAGAGGCAACGGCTTGCCTTTCCAGAAACAACTTCAGATCCAGGGTCTTCAGGGGGATGTAGTATCTAGAGGAGTGGGAGACGAGGAGGTCATGTATCCACAGCAATTCTACAAAGTCACTCCCAGTCTTGGGGCCATCCAGGAAGCAGGGACAGTTAAGAGTTTCTGGTTCTCAGGATAGGGTTCTCAGAAGGACTGTCTTACACTGTACCTCTTCAGGTAAAATCAGCAGTGGGACCCTTCTTCTGGTAGCTCCTTCCCCGGAGCATCCTGACAAATCATGTCTCTCACTCTCACTAATCAGCCCCTCCACTTTTCCTTTCCAATAAGCATGGAAAATAAGTGTTTGAAAGAGCCTGGTTACATTTAGGCGGGTTACAATGTAGCCTCACTAGTTACATTTAGGCCCCAAAATTAGTGTGGTCATTCATATTCCTTTAGCTCAGCATTTCTATTCTTGGGAGGTGAAGAGAGAATGGGCTTAGGGATAACTGTTTCTTTTTACTATCACCGGTCATTTAAAAACAGCTGAGTTTTATTTATTTATTTATTTATTTATTTATTTATTTATGTTTTATTTTATTTTGCTTTTCCTGAACTCATTCTTCCCCACCCCCAACCTTTCCACTAACCCCACAATGAAAGACAAACATTAATCCGATAAAAACAATTGAGAAGTTGTGACTGGGTAAACACACCAGAGTGATCACAGTTAATAATCAATTTAGCCTGAGAAGAGTGAAGAGATTCTTGGATTATATATATTTAAGGCTAATGACTTCTTTAATTTCTAGGTTTTAGATAATGACAAAGAATGGAAGCATTTCTCGGGGTGGCTACATCTGCTACATGAGCAATCTAATGATAGACAACATTTTTAGGATTGATTACACTGCAGTTGTTTCTGCTTTTGTTGTTGTGGGGGTTTTGTTTTGTTTTTGTTTTTTTTTAAGAAACTGGTTAAGATTCAAAATTTCAACTCTGAGGATGTCAACAACAGTCTCAGAGTCGAAATTTTGAATCTTAACCAGTTTCTTAAAAATTGCAACATTGACCAAAGCCATTTGGTTCCCTTAATGCCACTGTTAATCTTTAATGGAGCAAAAAATGTTGATGACCCAGTGTCCTACCCTCTAAACCTTCCATAGGGACTGCTGGTGAAACCTATTATTAAGCATCTTGAGAAATGCACACAACAATCTTCCTTTGTATATCAAGCCACTGTCTTCAACAGCAAGTAGAATTTTCTAACATTTCTAACTAGTGGGGCCTGTCTTAACTGTTGGCTCATTTGAGCACCAGCCACTAACCAGTCCACCTTGAAAATAAGCATAAAAAGTGTTTCCTCCCACACTCTTGTTTCAGCAATAATCTTAAGTATATTGTGACTACGAAGAAACCTACAATTTTTGCCTGCCTGGTGTAAACTGCTACTTGCATTGATGAAAAGTAGAAGGCAATTTGTCAGGTTTTTCCCGAATATCACACAATGTAGCACATGGCATGAGGTTCAGCTTTCCTGGCTTTAGCTAATACTAATATTATAATATTTCACATGAAACTTTGACACAAATCCCATGCACCTACTTAAACCCTGTAACTACATACCCAGAGTTGAACAAACTTATTCAACCTTGATACTGTTTTCTCTCTCAGTCCCCAGAGCCTAGCCATCATCAAATCCTGTTGAATTTGCCTTCTACCTACTTTCAAGTGCATTTATGTTATTCTCTCCACTGGCAACCATTTTAGTCCAAATGAGATATTTTTCCTCACCTAAAGAACACCAAGAGCCTCTTAACTGATTTAAAAAAAAAAATCAGAGAGAAAAATAAATGAAAAGAAAACCTAGCCCTTTTGGGTTGTTTTTGTTTCTGTAGTTCAGTTTTGCATTGATTGTTAAAACAGAGAAGTTATGTTAGCTAATGTTAAAAACTATCTGTTATCCTCCTGGAAAAATATTTATAACACATATTACTACACTATCAGCCTCTGATTTCTTTTTTTTTTTTTTTTTTTTTGAGACGGAGTTTTCGCTCTTGTTACCCAGGCTGGAGTGCAATGGCGTGATCTCGGCTCACCGCAACCTCCACCTCCTGGGTTCAGGCAATTCTCCTGTCTCAGCCTCCTGAGTAGCTGGGATTATAGGCACGCGCCACTATGCCCAGCTAATCTTTTGTATTTTTAGTAGAGACGGGGTTTCACCTTGTTGGCCAGGACAGTCTCGATCTCTCGACCTCGTAATCCACCCATCTTGGCCTCCCGAAGTGCTGGGATTACAGGCGTGAGCCACCGCACCCGGCCAGCCTCTGATTTCTTTTGTGATTGTTGTTGCTGCTATTTTCAAACCATTGCTTTTGGTCTGTACTTTCTCTTTTACCAATAAGAGTGGAAATATAAGAAAGGGGGAGAGCTAATTCTTACCTTTATAAGGGGATTTTAACGGTTTCAAATCTATTTTTTGGAACAGCACACATATGGTTGAAATAATGATCACACAATTTCTCACTCATTACAATACACGGAAGGCATTAATTGAAAGCTACCACGAGAAAGGAGTTGTATTGTGATCCTGGATATTAAGAAGTGCCACTGTCTCCTATGCTCTTATTTTCCTTGCGCAAAATCTAGATTTAAATGAGAACAGCTCAGGAACAGCAGGACTAAAATATGCGCCAGGGTTGAGTGTTACAACTGACTATGAGTGGCTTGTCCACTGCTTTGTCATTTACCAGGGCTGCCAGCCTACGATAACAATAATAATCATAGAAACAGTGTAAGCCAGTGACTGATCTAAGCTCATTTTAACATAAGCGTAAGACCATCTTCCAAATAATAGGAATTGTGTGTATTGGTGGCTCTGAGCAGTGTTTCTCCAAAGCAAAATTTGCAAACTAGTGGCTCTTAGGCTAAATTCAAGCAATAGACCAACCTTGTTTTTCCTGCACAATGTTTAAAAAATGTTAAAATTTAATCTAATTGAGATTTCTAACTTCTGGAAAATCAAAAGATGGGTCCTTGATCTCTGGCAGTAATCCCTTTAGACCGGGCTTGAGCTTTCCCAGTTCTGCAGTCCCTACCATTCTGACTGTCTCACATGCTACTTACTTCACTAATTTACTTACCTGCTTGCCCTCATTAGACATTTACACTTGTAAGCCCAGCTATAGAGGAATTACTACCACCACTGAAAATCAGTCCCCATTTGAAAGCTGGGGGCACTTTCAAAGAAAATTGTTTGAAGTGACAGCCTAAAAACCTGCAAGGATTCACTACTCCTGTGCTTCCCAGATGCTGTCACTGGACCCAAGAGCCAAGCTTTCTGTCCTGTCGTTTTCCAGTGAAGGGGAGCACAGAGTTTTTGGGGTTTTTTTCCCCTTCATTTTCACCAGGAGAGGCTTTCAAAGATCTTTTTAAAGTGAAGAATCCCCTTTAATTCAAGGAAGTCTTAAATGTAATTTCACTATAAAAACAGATTAAAGTTGCCCTGGTTAAAAAAAAAAAAAAAAAAGAGGTTGTTGGGAGCACCCCACCAGCACAACTAACCCCACCATGACTCTCTCAGACAGTTCCCAGGACACCTCTGGGGGCCCGAGGTGAGCTGGGGGACCCTGTGTGAAAAAGCACAGGCAGCACATTTACTCCAGTAGATAAGGCCTCCATGAAGAGCTCAGTCACCAAGTCTTCTGCTAGAATGCCAAGCGCTGTGGCTAAATTTAGAGCCCAGGAAAATAAGATTTGGAAGGGACCTCAGAGACCATCTGTTCCGACCCCATCAGTTTATGCAGAAGGAAATGGCGTCTGCAAAAGTTAGTAGTCTAAGCTAAGAGAGACGACTAGTCCGTGACAGAACCAGGCCTCATCTCCAGGCCTTCTCACCCGCTCCCCACTTCTCGGCCTCCCATTCAGTCCTGTGAATATCCTGAAGAGAGCCAATGACCTCAGAAAAAAAGGAACTTGAATTACAACTTAATCATGAATCTGTTCCTCTGTCCCTGGATTTCAGCATGGGGAAGGGGAAGGAGGAGCCGAGGTTTCATGTAAAAGGGATTAGTCAGTTTTCAGAGAGTAGGGAGACATTTCAGACGCCCTCTCCCATATTCCCAACCTTGGCATATCCCTGTGCCAAGGCTCCAGACACCAGCATTTGGTTGTCTGTTGAAGTGCCAGC